GGTTTCATTTAAATAACTTTGTTGGTCGTTACAATATCAATAATAATGCAGTTAGATTTTAGAGACGTTACCCGAAAAGAGCTTTGAACGTTATTTTGTCGAATTATCCTGATTGTCAAATTCGTAAATTCTTGAGGTTCTTTGGATACTTCGGTTTTTTGCACGAGCAGAGAAGTACCTACGCTTTAAATTTCGTTGAAGATGTTTCACACAAAGTTCATTCCCATCGTACTCAATCTAAAGTTAATTAAGTTAACTAACGTACACTTACCAACTAGTTACACCTAACAATTTACTCATAAAGCAGACCGTATGATACAAAAGAAATTAAATAATTATGTAACTGTGAGACCTCTGAAGAAATGAATTGAATTATTAGCGGTATACAACTGATGTCTTGTACGCACGACATTTTTTATTCTATTTTATTACTACAACGCTAATATTTATTGCTACTACGATATTGACAAAAACTTTCTTTTTGTGTGAGAGTGTGAGAATCTCGCCGTTAATAATTAGATACATATTGTATTCTTAGAGGATATTTAACAATAACGTATCTTATTTATGTATTAACGAACGCTGAATGCTAATGAATTTCAGAATCAATCACCGAGGAACTGTTATCATAACTTTTTACGGGTTTCAATAGCGGAATTCTGTTCGCTCCGTCTATACCCCTAATTACAGGAAATATAGCATTGAGTTAAAAGTGTGGCAAATAATTATTATTAGGTACAAGAGGTTGCTCTATGAGGATAAGTGATCAAAGGGTAAGAAATTGTCACCCCTTGCCGAGTAAGAGAGGATTTTCATTAAAAATTTCGCATTTTCAAACCGAATAGGGGTTGAATTTTGATAGCTATATGCATTTATAGATACAAGAGAACCCTTTATGATGATAATTAATCAAAGGAAAAGAATATTTGATGGCCGCAAAACTGTCACCCCTTGCTGTGGATATGTGCTGAGTAAATTTCACATTTTCAAAACAGGGGTTGAATTTGTATACCTTTGCATTTATAATTACAATAGACTAATTGATCAAAGGGTAAGAATATTTGATCGCCGCAAAATTGTCATCCCTTGCTGAGTCAGAGAGGATTTTCATTCAAATTTCGCATTTTCAAAACAGGGGTTGAATTTGTATACCTTTGCATTTATAATTACAAGAGGATGATTGATAAAAGAGTAAACATATTTGATCGCCGCAAAATTGTCACCCCTTGCTGAGTAAGAGAGGATTTTCATTAAAATTTCGCATTTTCAAAACAGGGGTTGAATTTGTATACCTTTGCATTTGTAATTACAAGAGGATAATTGATCGAAGGGTAAGAATATTTGATCACCGCAAAATTGTCATCCCTTGGTGAGTCAGAGAGGATTTTCATTAAAATTTAGCATTTTGAAAACAGGGGTTGAATTTGTATACCTTTGCATTTGTAATTACAAGAGGATAATTGATCGAAGGGTAAGAATATTTGATCACCGCAAAATTGTCATCCCTTGGTGAGTCAGAGAGGATTTTCATTCAAATTTCGCATTTTCAAAACAGGGGTTGAATTTGTATACCTTTGCGTTTATAATTACAAGAGGATGATTGATAAAAGAGTAAACATATTTGATCGCCGCAAAATTGTCACCCCTTGCTGAGTAAGAGAGGATTTTCGTTAAAAATTTCGCATTTTGAAAACGAATAGGGGTTGAATTTTTATAGCTATATGCATTTATAGATACTAGAGAACCCTTTATGATGATAATTAATCAAAGGATAAGAATATTTGATGGCCGCAAAACTGTCTCCCCTTGTTGTGGATATATGCTGAGTAAGAGAGGATTTTCATTAAAATTTCGCATTTTCAAAGCAGGGGTTGAATTTGTATACCTTTGCATTTATAATTACAAGAGCATAATTGATCAAAGGGTAAGAATACTTGATCGCCGCAAAATTGTCACCCCTTGCCGAGTAAGAGAGGATTATCATTAAAAATTCCGCATTTTCAAACCGAATAGGGGTTGAATTTATAACGTATACACTTACAAGATACAAGAGTTTGCCCTATAAGTTAATTGTTCAAAGTATATTGAATCGCCGCAAAATTCTCACCCCCTGCATGTGGATAAGTGCTGTTGTAAAGAGGATTTTCATTTTAAAAATTTTGCATTTTCAAAACCGAATAGGGCGATGAATTATTAAGCTATATGCATTTATAGATACAAGAGAAACCCTCTATGATGATGAATTAATCAAAGGATAAGAAATTATTTGAGACCGCAAGGTGTTACCCCTTTTGCTGTTGGGATTGTGCTGAGTAAAAGAGGATTTTCATTATATTTTCGTATTTTTCAAAAACAGGGGTTGAATATGTATACCTTTTCATTATAATTACAAGCAGAATAATTGATCAAAGGGTAAGAATATTTGATCGCCGCCAAAATTGTCATCCCTTGCTGAGTAAGAGAGGATTTTCATTAAAATTTCGCATTTTCAAAGCAGGGGTTGAATTTGTATACCTTTGCATTTATAATTACAAGAGCATAATTGATCAAAGGGTAAGAATACTTGATCGCCGCAAAATTGTCACCCCTTGCCGAGTAAGAGAGGATTATCATTAAAAATTCCGCATTTTCAAACCGAATAGGGGTTGAATTTTTATAGCTATATGCATTTATAGATACTAGAGAACCCTATGATGATAATTAATCAAAAGATAAAAATATTTGATGGCCACAAAACTGTCACCCCTTCCTGTGGATATATGCTGAGTAAGAGAGGATTTTCATTAAAATTTCGTATTTTCAAAACAGGGGTTGAATTTGTATACCTTTTCATGCATAATTACAAGAGAATTATTGATCAAAGGGTAAGAATATTTGATCGCCGCAAAATTGTCACCCCTTGCCGACTAAGGGAGGATTTTCATTAAATAATTTCTCATTTTCAAACCGAATAGGGGTTGAATTTTTTTGCTATATGCATTTATAGATACAAGAGATCCCTTTATGATGATAAATAATCAAAGGATAAGAATATTTGATGGCCGCAAAAATGTCTCCCCTTGCTGTGGATATGTGCTGAGTAAGAGAGGATTTTCATTAAAAATTCCGCATTTTTAAAACGGACAGGGGTTGAATTTTTATACGTATACACTTACAGATACAAGAGTTGCCTCTATAAGTATAATTGATCAAAGGGTATGAATATTTGATCGCCGCAAAATTCTCACTCCCTGCTGTGGATAAGTGCTGCGTAAGAGAGGATTTTCGTTAAAACTTTCGCATTTTGAAAACGGATAGGGGTTAAATATTTAGAGCTATGCATTTATAGATAGAAGGGGATCCTCTGTGGGGTAATTGATCAAAGGAATATTTGATCACCACAAAATGATCACTCTCTGTTCCGGATATGTGGTAGGTAAGGAGTAGTTTTATTAAAAATTTTGTTTTAAATACGGATAGGGGAGGAATTTTTATACCTTTGCATTTGTAAATACAAGAGTATCTTCTGTGCGGATAATTGATTAAAGGGTGGTCGCCGCAAAATTATCACCCCTTGATGTTCCGACTTCCGAGTACGAGAGGATTTTCATTAAAAACCTCGCAATGTGAAAACGGAATGGGGGTTGAATTTGTATACTTTTGCATTTATAATTACAAGAGGATCCTCTATGAGAATAATTGATCTAAGGGTAATAACACGTAATCACCGCAAAATTGTCATTAAAATTTCGTAGTTTTAAAACGGACAGGGGATGAATTTTTATACCTATGGACTTACATATGCAAAAGGATTCTCCATAAGGATAATAATTGATGAAAAGATAAGTTAGAGAGTTTTTTAATGAAAAATTTCGCACTTTCAAAACGAATAGGAGTTGAATTTGTATACCTATGCCTTTATAAATACAAGTGGATCGCGTATCAGGATAATTGCTCAATCGGTAAGAATACACCACGATATAAGGGAGTTATTTTGCTTAAAAATTACTTTGTTTCGAATAGGGGTTGACGTGCCTCACCAAAATATTTGTTTATAGGAACTTGGTCCAAGGAACATTATTATTTGTAAAAGTTAAACCGCCAAAAAATTTCCCGCAACAAAACTTGGGCGCCTTGGAGCCTCTACAACCGAACAGAATATTCGGCCGCAAAGAACTCGCCATGAAGTAAATTCGCGCCGGTAAATTCACTTTTAAAAATTGGCCCCCAAGAATGTCGCCGTTAAAAAATTCGGTTAAGGAAATTTCCCCTTACGAAAATTAATCCCAAAGATTTTCTCAGCCCCAGAAAACTCGTCTCCGGAGCAATCGCCCCAAAAAATTCGGCTCGTCTTTGAAAAATGCGACAGTTGAATGTTCTTCTTTCATTCCTATAACCCTAGTTAGTCAATCCTATACCGTCACCTTGTACTTTTTATTCACTGGGGATGAAATAATTTGCAATCTTTCCCTTTGTTTAAACATTTTCAAAAACGAAACTTATTTTTGTGTTCAAAAATCCATTTATACTAAAATGAATCGAGATGCACTTATGTCTAGTGGGGGTGGCATGTTTGGCTAGGAATTTACTATTCATTTTGCATAAATTGTTATTGAAAGAGAGAAGGTAAATATTTTATTAATACCCCGAGTTCGTACCACGTAATTTCGTTGTCATTATGTACGTTATCGATTACAACAAATACTGACTTAAACGTTAACGCAAATTCGATTTCAATAAAAATGGCAAAATAAAGCTAACGGGTACTTACAAACGCGCTTGAAAACATTACGAAATGATTTAAAATTCATATTGGTAGTCTAGTCAGGTTTTGTACCTGCATGTTCCCTAAAGCTAAATTCCTGCCGAAGCATTCGCCGTCTCTCTTCGTCTACGGCTTCAGCACCATCCTAAGAAAAAGAGATTTCTTTGCCTACCTCCATCTACATTATAAAAGATGTTTATCTTTGATAGATTTTGTAATGGAAAATATAGGAGCAGGTGGGTTTCTAATTGCGGGGTTGAAAACGAAATCAATCAATTGTATTTTCTAGACGAGTTTATACAAATCAACAACTGTCGAAACCTAAAATAATCTTCTTTCCCAATTTCCCTCCGCCGCCAATAATCGTCGATAAAGCCCGCTCGTACTCCTTGAAGTTGACCATTTGAAAGGCGGGACCGTGAATTTCACCTTTGGTCATCATCGTGACCAACTCCTCTAGCATTTCGCTTCTGTCTTCGGAATCGAAGTGTTCGTTAGTCCACCTGGTCATCCAAAAGCCTACCGCTTTAATGTCTTTGAAAATTAAAGCGGAAGTGGGAACGGTCACGGGTTCTTTAGACATTCCTCCATAGGTTACCATGGTGCCACCAGGCGCCAAGTTACGCATCAGCTCGAGGGCGCTCTGCCCTCCAACGCAGTTCAGACCCAACTTTGGCCAGGGGCACTCTTTACTTTTGAACAGGTTCGTTTTCCTCAACTCGCTTTCGGTGACGACATGTGTGCCTCCCAGGTCCAACAAAGAGCGTTTTAGTTCGTCGACATTCTCGCGATCTCTCACAATGTTAACCGTACTCAAACCCCAAACGCGACAAATCTGTATGACGTACTGCCCACAGGCGGAATTCGCCCCATTCTGAATGACACAATCTCCCGGCTTCAGGCTCGTGAAATCCCTCAGCATGCGGTAAGCTGTGCAAGGATTAACCGTCAGCGTCGCCGCCTCCACAATACCCAAATTCTTCGGCACCTTGTAGACGAAATTGTGAGACAAAGCGGCGTGAGTCCTCCACGTACCCATCCCGGGCTTGAGAGGCACAATACGATCTCCCACGGCGAAATTGCGAACCTCGCAACCGACGTCGATAACCTCAGCGACACCTTCACCCCCGCCGATGGCCGGCAACACAGGTTTCGACGGATACTTGCCCTCGATGGTGTTGATATCGGCCGGATTAATAGGCGCAGCGAGCATACGCACCAAAACTTCGTCCGGCTTCACATTGTCGTTTATCTCCTCGTTGTGTTTGCGCAAAACCTTCATGGGGTCGCCGTATTCTGTGTACATCAATTTCTGGGTCATCACACTTTGCTCGCGTACGTTGTTATGCAATACACTCACTTTTTTTAGACGGTTAAGCGTACGCGTAAGACGAAACATTTTTCTTTGGGTTACGGACGAAGTTACAGCTCGTTTTCTTGTGGGAGGTTAGAATTCAGGTGTCACAGTGAAGTGAAGGTTCAGTGCACTGTTTTATCGGCCGCACGTGGTTTATGAATTTTTGTGCATTTTCAAGGATTCAGTTCTAATAATCAATCTTTTTTGCCTTGACAAAGCAAATCTCTTGGGAAGGGCTGTAAAAATCTTAAAATTTCTTGATCCTGGAGGATATTCTGATGATATTTTCTTTTACATTTAAATCAAAAGCATTTCATGTGCGCACCTAAAGATTTTAACTTCAACCCCGAGAGCAACCCCTACCCCTGAATTTGAGGATGCTTTTTTAATGTTTGATTTTTCATGTTTGAATCCAAGCCTAAATCAATTTAATTTATTTCCCTGAAAAACTATGGGCTCGAGCAAGAGATAAGATTTTTTGCCATTAACCCACTTGTTCCAATATTTCTCCAATAACGCTATGCCATTGAATAAAATTCGATAAAAAGCGACGCCTCCTGAAGTGGTTTTTGAGCTTTGGAAAGAGATAATAGTCACAGGGGGCCAGATCGAGCCCCGAAACCGTTCACTTCTTCAACTGCTTCCGACTTTTCAAATCCTTCAGATCTATAAAATCTTCAGGTTAATTGAGGATTCTTCCTTTGAGTACAGTGTGAATTATCCTAAAACTTCATGCTGGTAACTGTCTTAAAAACCGGTTAAGATCCTTAAAAATGAATTTTGTAACCTCTTTTGACTTCTTCGTAGTACTCTTCCCAGAAACATTCTTTTGGAAAACTTCAAGAGGGTGTCAATTTCCCCCAATCCAAACACAGATGTTTTTCCAAAACTTAGAGGAAATACCGTAGTCAAGAAAATCACCTGAAATCATAATCGGACTGAATCAACAGCGAAAAATCACTCACAGTCTAATCTCTAAAAATATTTGCGAAAAACTTCTTAGGAAGATTCGTGAAAATATCTTTGAAATCTTCTCGATATTTTACTTCAATTACCTATTTTGCTTTATTTATTTTACTTTATCAGAAATCTAGTGATGCTCCTCTTGGAGACCGAGTTGCAAGCCACCTTCGAAGTTTTCTAACAATGATATTGGAAAACGTGTCAGTTAACGTAGTGCTGGATAATGCGCGAAAAAGTTAATTCTTTATGGCCAATGGATTTACCACCACATGCCCTAAATTTGAAAAAAAAGGCTGCCGTGTAATGCTGTCGAGGAATTGAATCCAAAACGAGGACTTTGCAATGACACAAGGCTCATCGTTAGGAGACAAAATAATCGAATGTAGTAGACTGGGCTACTAGATTAAAAGTTACAGCCCTTTGAATTTTTTTTCGAAATTTGTTTTTTGTCCATAACTTTTTATTGAGAGGTCTATAATCGAAAAAGTACGAATTGTTTTGGATTCTACGCACCAAAATTAATAAGAAAAAGTGTTTTCTCGAGAAATTTTGGTGTAGTCAATTTTTGGTAAAAAAGGAAGGTTATACACTGCCTTTTTTTGAGGCCCGAAAAAAAAATTGTCTCAGATCGACCCGGAAAAAAATTTTCTTATAGAATGTGGCCTGTAGAATCCATAATTTTAAACAGTTCCAAGATTGGGCTACTAATTCAAAAGTTACAGCCCTTTGAATTTTTTTTCGAAATTGGTTTCTAGTCTATAACTTTTGATTGAGAAGTCTGATCGAAAAAGTACGAATTGTTTTGGATTCTACGCACCAAATTTAATAAGAAAAAGTGTTTTCCCGAGAAATTTTGGTGCAGTCGATTTTTGGCTAAAAAGGAAGGTATACTCTGCCTTTTTTGGAGGCAAGAAAAAGAAATTGTCTCAGATCGACCCGGGAAAAAATTTTTCTTATAGAATGTGGCCTGTAGAATCCATAATTTCAAACAGTTCCAAGATTGGGCTACTAGTTCAAAAGTTACCGCCCTTTGAATTTTCTTTCGAAATTGGTTTCTAGTCTATAACTTTTGATTGAGAAGTCTGATCGAAAAAGTACGAATTGTTTTGGATTCTACGCACCAAAATTAATAAAAAAAAGTGTTTTCCCGAGAAATTTTGGTGTAGTCGATTTTTGGTAAAAAAGGAAGGTTATACACTGCCTTTTTTGAGGCCCGCAAAAAAAATTGTCTCAGATCGACCCGGAAAAAAAATTTTCTTATAGAATGTGGCCTGTAGAATCCATAATTTCAAACAATTCCAAGATTGGGCTACTAGTTCAAAAGTTACAGCCCTTTGAATTTTCTTTCGAAATTGGTTTCTAGTCTATAACTTTTGATTGAGAAGTCTAATCAAAAAAGTACGAATTGTTTTGGATTCTACGCACCAAAATTAATAAGAAAAAGTGTTTTCCCGAGAAATTTTGGTACAGTCGATTTTTGGTAAAAAGGGAAGGTTATACACTGCCTTTTTTTGAACCCCGCAAAAAAAATTGTGTCAGATCGACCCGGAAAAAAAATTTTCTTATATAATGTGGCCTGTAGAATCCATAATTTCAAACAGTTCCTAGATTGGGCTACTATTTCAAAAGTTACAGCCTTTTGAATTTTCTTTCGAAATTGGTTTCTAGTCTATAACTTTTGATTGAGAAGTCTGATCGAAAAAGTACGAATTGTTTTGGATTCTACGCACCAAAATTAATAAGAAAAGTGTTTTCCCGAGAAATTTTGGTGTAGTCGATTTTTGGTAAAAAAGGAAGGTTATACACTGCCTTTTTTTGAGGCCCGCAAAAAAATTGTCTCAGATCGACCCGAAAAAAAAATTTTCTTATAGAATGTGGCCTGTAGAATCCATAATTTCAAACAGTTCCAAGATTGGGCTACTAGTTCAAAAGTTACAGCACTTTGAATTTTCTTTCGAAATTGGTTTCTAGTCTATAACTTTTGATTGAGAAGTCTGATCGAAAAAGTACGAATTGTTTTGGATTCTACGCACCAAAGTTAATAAGAAAAAGTGTTTTCCCGAGAAATTTTGGTGTAGTCGATTTTTGGTAAAAAAGGAAGGTTATACACTGCTTTTTTTTGAGGCCCGAAAAAAAAATTGTCTCAGATCGACCTGGAAAAAAATTTTCTTATAGAATGTGGCCTGTGGAATCCATAATTTCAAACAGTTCCAAGATTGGGCTACTAGTTCAAAAGTTACAGCCCTTTGAATTTTTTTTCGAAATTGGTTTCTAGTTTATAAATTTTGATTGAGAGGTCAAATCACAAACAAAACATGAATGGACAACAGTAAATTTGTGGACTAACAATTCAGGTGTATCCAGTCATTAGGTTTTTATTAGAGATATAATATAATCATCAAATTCATTTACTGAATAGAAAGAATTATTTTGTAATATCTGTTTCGTTCTATTTTTGAAAAGGGAGTGGTTCATTTTTTTTAGAGTTTCAGGCAGATTATTGAATAATACTGAACCGGTGTAAAACGGCGATTTTTAATAAAATGAATGTTGGTGTTTTGGAATCAAGATTTTATTTTTACCTCTGGTGTTGTGATTGTGAATTTGACTTATTTTGTTAAATTTGTGTCGGTTTTTATGAAGATAAATAAGTAATTTAAGGATATATATACAAGGCAGTGGCATTATTTTATGATTTTTGAAAGTGTCCCGACATGTTTGAGCGTAATTAAGATTGTACATCAAGCGTATTATACGTTTTTGTAATATAAATACTCTGCGAGTATGTGTACTTGCTCCCCAAGTTACAAATACAAATACTGCTACTGATTTGAATACTAAAAAAAGTATTTACAAAATCGAATACTGCCCAGCTCTGGTTATTTCAATTAAATTTGCCAAACAATTTGTAATTTGGCGTCCATTTGTGATCTTTGGATTTACTCGTTGCCAAACATTGTTTGAAATTCAAATATTAAAGTAAAAATATAAACACTGACTCTTTTTTTTTTAATGGCGGTTATTTCAATATTTAGGTATTTAGTTTTGAAATATTTAAATGGTAGGTAATTCCACAAAGTCACAGCTTACTAAGATTGACAATTACTGTGATATTCAATTTTTTTCAAACCATAAAAAAACAGAATCACCCTGTAAATGGGTTTCGAACGAAGTAAAAATATTTTAGGTTTGTAGCCTTAAGGGTTCCTCCCCATGCCAAAGCATGAACTTCACTTTTACAAGGATCCGTCCACACACTACTGGCCCGCCCTGTATATGAAAATAAAAGTATAAATAATGTTTAAATGAACAATACAAATTTTAACGGCCATCTAGGATTTTGACTGATTTCCTGGGCCGGAATTAATGGGAATTTTGAATATGTTAAAATTGATATCTTTCACAATAAAATGCAATGTTGCAATTTTGCCTAGTTCAGATTTATAAGGTCTTCAGATTTTGTGAATTCGGATACTTCCAGCTCTCGGTTTCTGCAGGTTTTTTTTTTATTGATTGAGATTCTTCGGATTTTTCTGTCTCTTTGAATTCTTCTGACTTCACCTGCAAAAATAGGCCGTGTGAACATACCAAACAAAAACAGCTAGGACGTTGATGAAATGGTAACACAAAAAGTTATATGCAACCTCAAGTCAGAATTAAGATACGCCCATACCTTTGATAAAAAATGTGATGTGCTGATTGGGAAGGAGATGGGATGTCTGAATTTTGCCTTGCGATCTATAGGGTTGCTTATCCGTCAAATTCTGAATTCAAATTTTTTCTATAAATCTCGGGTACACTTTAATAGGAATTTTAGAATGAGTTTTACTTATTATGTCCACATGATCCTATTAGAAAACTCCTTTTAAAAGTATTCCAAAAATCCTCTTGAAACCTTCAGCAACCATTTTTTAACATAGTCTCGAACTTATCCTAGAGAATTCTTTCAGAAACTTGCTTAATTTCCTAGTAATTTGACTCGTAATCCTCTCCCTTAGAAATTGCCCTAAAATATTACTAGAAAAGAAAATTGTTGAAGATTTTTAGAATTCCATTTCGAAACAAAAATGTTTTTTGGACATTTACTAGTAATCCTCAAAGGAAACGACTTTTTTCGAAATCGAAAATATTTTTGGAAAACTGCTTAGGCGTTTTCTTTGAAAAACCCTACGAACATTATTTATAGAAACAGAGAATATAACACTCTTCTTGAATGCTTAGAAATCTATTTGGTGAATTTCTTGCATATCTTTTTCCAAATTTCATGTCATTCACAAACTGTAATAGTCTTTTCTTAAAGGATCTTTAAGAGTTTTTGATGCCTTTAAATCTATTCGGATCTGATCTATTTATGAAAAGCTTTGGAACGATCACAAAGGATTTCAATTGTAATTAAATCACATTTTTATAAATATTGTAGTGTGCACGATACTTACGCATGACTAATTTTTTTTTGGTCTTTTGAGCCCAGTATGTAATTTTAAAAATTGATACAAATGCACATTGAGCTTTTGAGCCCAATATGCAATTTTAAAGTTGCATATAAATGCATATTTTAAAAAATTGAATACATGTATGAATGTTTTAAAAATTGTGCGTCTTTTAGCATATCTCACGCAGTGTGCAGTATAAATCGTTGCTTAATTTTAGTTTCAGACAAAAATGAGAGAGAAACTAGGGGAATTTGATGAGGATTGTATGAGAGCTTCAAGAGAGTTTAGCAGGAAAGAAAGAGTATCCTGAGGAATCAGAAAATTTGAGGTTTTTAAAAGAAATTTGAACAAAATATGTGGGAAATTTACAAGTTAGCCATGCAGTTCCAAAAGAAAGTGCATTTCCTGTTGAATTTGGAATGGTGAATTCACAAATCCCAGACGTAGCCAACCAGTAAACCAACCCTTAGATCGAGAGGAACACACTTGATAACATAAGTCTGGGAGCCAGTATTTGGTTCAAGGATATCTTTCACGATCTCTCATCAATTCACCATCCTCTTCTAGTGCTAAGGAAAATAATTTAAAATTTTATAATAGGTTTTTTTTAGTGAAATACACGTTTTGCTCTGTCGGTCTTCCTAGCTGTACTCTCATTTTCAAGTTAACGGCTGTATCGATTGGAATCAAATTTGTACACATTTTCTTAGATATAAAAGGAGCTCTTGGGCAGAATCACGCATGCGCAAGTGCGAGGGTGGTATCTGTGCCATTTCACTGCAAAAATATTATTTTATTATTAGCCAAAAATGTGGTTGCATAAAAAGTCAAATTCACCTTTAAAACGGCAAACGCTCTACTCCCTTTCCAATGGGCCATGATTTTCCTAGGTTTTCGTTTTTAAAAAATTTGCCGAAGCTGTCTGCTGAGCGGGTGATTAATTTTTGTAAGAACCAAGCCATGTGTGTTTTTTTATAGACACTTGAAATTATGGATTGAGTCTCCTGCATCCAGAATTCCAGCTAGTAAACGGAATGTCTCCCCTTACCTAAAATAATAATTACGACTTACTCTGTAGACGCAAGTACTTATAGTCAACGGAGTGATTTCGAATTTAAATAAGTCCTTTGCATTGTTCCATTTTCTTGATGCAAGTTGGTCAATAACCGAACAGTACGTGTAGCTTTTTTATGCTCCCCATCATCCGTTCATGCAATTTTTCAACAGATACAAAGTTCTCTAGCGCTGTGAGAAAAATCCCTTGGTTGGCATTATAAAATACTTTTATAAACAAATATAAGTACACAGATTCTTAGCATTATAAATAATTTAACAAAAACACAATAAACAAAGCTGAAAATGTGACTAGACAGTTTCAGATCCGATGATATCCAACAAATCATCCTTCATAGAAGAATCCTCCTCAAAATCGTCCAGGTTTAAATCGCTGAAGATTTTCTTCAAAGCGTCATCGGGCGTCGAAACTTTAATGTTATCGAAAATTTTGAGCTGAATGTCGTCCTTCTCCTTGCGCTGGAACTCGTTAATGTGCAAATTCATGTTGGGGCCGTTCTCCGCAGCGCTCAGCTTTCGAGCGCCTAGCATTTCGTTCGCGAACACCTCCAGCTCTTTGTTGTCGAGTCGCTCCTCTTCCTCTTCGTGCGGGTCCGGCTCCAGGATTTTGCCGTTTTGCGTCACCTCGTAGATGTTCTCGCCCAAATTCTTCAGCATGTCTTCCGCTACGGCGTTGTTGTTGTTGGAGGTGAAACTCGCGTCTTCGTTTTGCAACCCCATTCGCAGCAGGAGCGAGACTCGGACGTTGAAGCTCTGCAGCCACTCCACGATGCCGGCGTGCAGCTTCTCCTTTTCGTTTTTGTTGAAAATCTTGTTGAAGTTTTCCACTACGTTTTGTACTCTGTGGAGCTGAAGGTGGGTGTCGGGATTTATGAGGTAGGTCTCGATTTCATAGAGGTGCCGGAGTGTCAACGCCATGATATCCGTGGTCATTGTGACTTGCCATTTGAAAACCATTGTGATTAAATCCCACAGTTTCGCCATGCTGTTGGTGTCCAAACGCATGATTGAGGATTGCGTTACATCTTCGATTATACTTTTAACGGCCTCTGGACTTAGTGGAGGTTGCGGTTTTGTTAACTCGGCAATGAGCTGCGGTGAAATCAGTACCGATATGATATTGTTTAGTACTGCAACAATAGAAATAATCAGTTTCAACTATTCTACGTACTTGAAGACGAAGTGTGTCGGTGCAAAATTTCTATGATTGATCAAAATAAATAAAGAAGCTCTAGTTTGTCGCCCCCTTCCTTTCGACAATGACCTAATGCGGTATATGAAAAACGTTTCATTTTCTCGTTAATATAAGATGTTCGCTACCTACGCGTGTTGATACGCAGTAAATTGTAGGTGGATTCTATTTGGGGCTGAATGCCTGAGATGTGGCATGTTAGCGGCCAGGTAATTATTAATTATGAATGCGATCAATTTCCAACTAAGCGGCGCTTTAATAAAAAATTTACAATGACAGAAAGTGCCTACACCGTAGTTTATTAAACATTATATTTTCTCTAGACCTCAGGAGTTCTTCTGCTCCACATATTTTCGTTGGAACACCTTGTATACCTACGAAGTGACATCGAAATTTGCAGATCAAAAAGGCGTTGGAATTTTGTTCACCAGAATTGGCCATTTTTTCGCCCTCGCAACTTTGTAACTATAATAGGGAGAAGCGCTAAGATAAATCTTCAGGAGTTCGACACTATCATATACTAAAGGCAAGCGTTTGGACGAAGGTAATTAACAAGCACTTCTGGTTGTATACGAAACTGTCGTGTTGCATGTATTCTCAAAAACTTACACCTGGACAGAATGCAGGAAATTGTTGTAAAATCAGGATACCTGTAGTTTCTGTGAATCAACAAAGACATCGGGGCGCCACCAGTCGCCATCAAGTCGATAAAAGAATACTCACCGGTGATAAGGAACGAAAGCAAATGCGAGGATATACTGACTTCGAAAATGTTCCGTGATTTTTCTAGAAATTGTGTTTAATGGAAGTCGACGCCATTCTATTTAAGTAGTTTCGTACATTCAGTATAAATTAATTCTAAATAAATGAAACGCGTAATTAAATTTACGTTATAGGGGTATAGTAGACCAACTTCCAAAAAATAGAGCAAAGACTACAATAAAAAATTGTAACACACGAAATCGATACACTTATACATTGAAGACATATTTTTTGGATATGTAAGGATTTTCGGGTAGCTTACTGGGCAAGGCATGCTAAATTTCATAAATTTTCTAAATATACGAATTTCTCTATTTTTTTGTATATTAATCATATGCATATTTTATGTTGTCGTATAGAAAATTGATTACTCTTTTTTTTTTTTAGAGGGCATCAACTTCTCAGGTCATTAGCCCTTTTTACTGGTTCTTGTTCTACTTAAACGTTTTCAGACTAGAATCGTTTTTCCATGTAAGATGTAAGCGGGTAAGTACCACCTTCTATATCTTATCTATATTTTACTAAAATACGCAGAGACTTTCAGGTACTTCACAGTGTTCCTCATTCCATCAGGATCCGTCAGGCACTTCTCCGTTCTTTGTTGAAGTTCGTACATTACTCTTTTCAAATATCGCAATTCAATGAGACGGTCTTATACTATAAATTGGTAACAATAAATGAGCCTGTTTATTTATATAACAAAATTCAATTTAGTAATAATCCTAGATTGGTTAATTTATTATATCCCCAATTCATAAAACGACATTAAATGAAAGATCATTTTCATACAATATTTCTAAAAAATATAACGCTTATATAATATATAAAGCAATATTTTAAAAAACATCAATGTCGAAGAAGAAGGCACTCCATAACATTGTTTTTGTTAGGCAAACGTTTGAGTTGAGTTAAATTTTAAATTTTATAACCCAATATATTTTTTTTCATACATTTTGTATTTATTCATAAATTTATTTATGCATTTTTTCCCATTACAAAGTAATTCTTTATTTTCTGTACATTTCCCAATTAGATTTTGAGTTCTTGTCATTATAATAGCCCAACTTCTGAACTTCGCCCTGTTAAATTGTGTGTGGCATGATTTAATAAAAGACGTTATTATTATTATTATTATTTGAAAAACAAAAGTTGCATCGATTTCCGTTTGAACCGGAAGTGATACCAGAAGTTTGAATAGGCGATCAGATAGATCGTAATGTTCCATATAGGTAAAATTAGATGTACCCAATTTTCGTATCTCGCCAAATAAATCTCAAACGCACTGTATATTCCATTTTCTAAAAATTTTTTTTAAAAGTAATTCCGTAGTTAAAATTTTGGTTTTAATAAATTCCGTCCGTCCGTCTGTGTACACGATAACTCACGATTACGAATTTTCCAATTCTGTTTTTAGCAATAGGTAGACAATGATCAAGGGACTAATTGATCAAATTTTGGTCAATATTCGTCAACTGGAAGTGACCTTGTCGCTCGTTGTCTATTTTGGTGCAGTTTATTATTTCTGATATCGCTATGATGAGATTATCTTTCTAGTATCTCGGGTCTCGTTTAGTTTGTCCCATACAGGGTGTGCCGAAATATAATGTACATACGCAAGGGGCTAATTCTTACGTTTATTTAATGACTTAAAGTTCATATAAACATATACCTCATTTTTTCGCACTGGAGGATAACTTTGGAGCCATGTGTAAGATTTGCTCGGAACTGTTGTCTGACGTAAAAAAACAGCAGCCCGTGGAAGTGTGCAACGAATGGCTGGAACTCTGTGAGGAGAACCCAAATGTCCTTGATAACGTCATCACAGGAAATTAGTCATGCGATCGGGAGACGAAAATGCAGAAGAAGGCAAGACTGAGCAAGTCCCACGTCAAGTCCATGGTCATCGTGTTCTTCGAAGCTAAGAGGATCGTGCACCACGAGTTTGTACCACCTGGACAAATCGACAACAAGGACTACAAAGAAGTTCTCAAATGAGTCACCCGCGTCTGACCAGAGATTCGGTCGTCATGGAGACTCGATCATGACAACGCACCGAGTCACACCGCCTTCGTTGTTAACTGCTATCTGACCCGGATGGGTATTTCAACGGTGCCACGGCCCCCTAAACGCCCTTTGTAGCACCGGCAGACTCCATCCTGTTCTCAAAGCATCTGAAGACATTGGCGTAACAAAAAAACCACGAAATCTATTTTTTTTAAAAAAAAAGGCTCATTACGTTTGGGACAGACGTGTCCCCGTTTTTGCGATTTTTCCGAGCAAACGTTGACACCTCATTGTATGGGGCAATTTTGAAGTTATCGAGCGCAGAGTAATCGCCTATTGGTCATCTCTGTAACCCGGTTGTTTTTGGTGGAAATCTATAAACACGTTTCATAGTTTTCGCAAGGTTTTTCTGAGCCAAAGTTACAAGACGCAATTTCGAAGTTACCAAGGGCACTTGGGTATTGTTGATGTGTATTTCTTATGGTAAGGCCGATGGTGATTGAAATTAAATTCATTCGTTTATTGTCTCGCATATAGTAATATAATAATCAACAGGGCTATAAGTAGAATTATTGCCATAAAAAATAGATTGTACACTTCAAGGCAAAAATTCAAGATTAATTCCAAAATGTAAGTGTTTTCTATCACTGGTTTTGTAATTTTTTTCTCTGTCGAGTGTTATGAAAGTCCAATATCCAATATGTCGTCCGTAGGAATAAGAATGTGGATGTGATTTACTCGAAACCCACAATAAAAATTTTATTTTAGCACCACAAGAAAATTGAGAAAAAAATCACTGATGGTTTGTTAAAATTATTTTTTGATAGCCAGCGCATTCTCGAAAATTACATTTTTCGTTTTTTTGGCAAACCCACCTTGTATAAATTATGATGTATTCGTATGGTGACAAACCACCCCAATGTTAAATGGATTACAAGCTCTTAACTGGTTTTCCGAAAGGGTTTGCTAAAATTGCCGGCCTGTGTGGCGCAGTGGTGTAGAACCGCAACTGCGGAACAACGGATCCCTGGTTCGAATCCGGGTTCGTAAAAGTAAATACAAAAAATTAAAAAAATGTTAACGAGAAATATTTTCAAAAAGATTTCTAAAGAAAAAAGAGCCTAGTTGTTTTAAGATGTCCTTTTAAGACTTCTACGGCTACCGGGAGGGCTACCGTTTTTAAAAATTTTAACTACCTATTTAAAAAATAAAAAAAATTCATCGAAAATTTACTGCAAGGTTTCAAGTTAAAGTTTGAGGAAGAGTTTTAAAAAGGTTTCAATGGAAATTTCAAGAATATCAAAAGTGATTTAAAAAAAAAGTGTTTCAGAATATTTTGAGGAAAATCGAAATATTTAATAATAGACCGGGTGCTAGATAGACTTGAGTGTGCAAAAGTAGTATGTTATAGCCGTTTCTAAATATGACCTTGAGATTACTAAAAGGGCATTGCCTTCGTTTCGGGTCGGTAAACTTGTGCTTCGTGTCGTGTCGTTTAAACTCGTGCTGCTTAAAGTGTATTAACCTCAATATGGCATTGACCTTTATTGTGGTTTAAATTGTCCGTGAGAATGACCTTTTCTATTTAAAGGTCGTTCACCTTAAAGGCACTGACCTTTTGATAAAAGGTTATTGACCTCGTTGTCTGTTCTTAAACCCTTTAGCTTAATGGTTTTGATCTCCGCTAATTGCGCATAGTGGGGCGCAGTAATTATATAGCCCACTCGTCGTGTAGATCAAATAATCATGGCATGGCTAGCGTATGCTGAGCAATCGTGGATCAAGGCGATAGATTTTGTAACAGCGGTAGAACGCCTTAAGCAAAAGTTTTCGGCGTTAGTATTTGACGCCGAACATGAAGCAATATATGGCAATGGTGAATATAGTGAGGAGGAGTGTCTGGCCATCGCTAAAAAATACGAGTTGGGCGAAGAAATATGTGAGAGTTATTTAAACAGTAAAATATGTGAAAAATGTGTAGTAGTACGCAGATTGATAAAGGCCAATTTAGAACAGTTTATTAGTGAGTTAAGTGATTGGACTGAAAATGAAGAAGAGAGTTACAATTGACGAAACACGGAATCAAGTGTACATAATGGTAGCGTGGTCGTTTGCTTACGGTAAAGCACGAAGAGGTTCGTGGGAAACAGTCGCGCTCGATAGATTTCGTTTCCGAAATAAAATCGAACAACTTAGTAGAGTTTTGTCTTCGGTATTAGAGAAAAGTCATCGGGACAAAGTCTATCGTGAACGACTCGCCTCCCCTCCACAACGTTAGCAATATAAGTGTAACTGCAGTAGTGCTTAAAATCATTCCGACAGCGTGTACGCGAACTGGTTAAAATGGATCTTGATACACTCAACAATACCACTTTCTGCAAGCCGTTCAAAAATGTAAAAGACCTGGAGGTGGGGGAGAAATATCGAATCGTCGGCATCGACACAATCAACACAAAATATGGTGACCGGGTAGTCGTGGAGACTGGAAACTTTAAATCTATGCTTCCCTTACGTTTCTACAACTACTTTAAGGAGGATAATCGTTTACAAACATTCCAAGCCTCCTTAGCCAATAAAGAGGTATACATAACAAGTGCCGGATCTGCAGGGCAAACGACTAACTTAAAGTTTATGTAAATAAAATATTTGTGTATTAGAAATGTAAATAAACATGGTATATATAAAAAGGAACGGATTCGTTTTATTTCTTTCTAGAAGGCTTCAGTAGATATTTCCGTTTCCTGTTTCAAGGTCCGAGCACACAAGGTAAACGGTTAGAGAATGGCCTATTCTGGACCACTCTTATTGATTTTTTATCGATTTTTGAAGCGCTATCCTGATTTATTGATTGATTATCGATTTCGGAGGCAACATGCAAACTCACTGTCCTTGTGTTATTGGTGATTGTCAATTTTGGGGGCATAGATATGTGTCTGTTGTGTGTTATTGATTTTAGGGCGTGTGTATAGCGGAATGGTATGTTTCCTCCTCGTGTTAATGGGAACTGAACTCGGGACATTCGCGCCATTTTAGTGGGAGTGTGTCATTGACCACTTTGACTGCAATTGTTGGAGAAGCAGGACTTCTGGAGCTAAAGTTTGATGTCTTCAAAATACGGTAGTGTAATTGACTACAATTGTGAGTTAATAGCCTGGAAAGCTAACCTTGAGCTCTCACGATGCTTACCGAATGCCTTCGGAACTTTTTGTGTTAGAGGGGCCATAGCGAATAGCTAGGGCTCTCTTGTATACCTACAGGATTTTGTTACTGTGGAAGTTCGTCGGTGTTGCAATCGGAGCTCTACGTCGCAATCTTTTAATCTGTATGAATAAGGCTGTCAACTCAGATTGGCCGCTAGTGTTGTGGGTATTGATCTAAGAGGGAAGCGACCTCTGAAATTAAAAGGTTGTTGGTCTCAAAGTATGAGACAATAGTGTTAAGTGTCATTGATCTCTATTCTGAGTCAATAGCCTCGAAAACTAAATGTCGTTATCCTCAAGTTGGATAGCATTGGCCTCTAATGGAAGTCAGTGTTCTCTAGCGCTGCAGGTGGTTAACCTTGATCGGTAGCCGTAATATGTTGGACGTCATTGAACTCTAGGTGTGAGCCACTGCCGCTAAATGTCGTTAACGTCAAAGGATCGACAGCTCAATACTATGCGGTCGATTGCAAACGTGCTAGTGGTGGGGACTGTATGTGTTAAGAATAATATTAAGAAACCGTTTGTGGATAGTATATTTCAAACAATCGCGGAGACATCAGACAAGAATCGTGCGCCGCAATCTATCGCTGCAAATATTCGAACTCTCGCAGTAGAGTTTCAAACGTAGTTACTTTAGGATCAGTCCTGACAGAGTTTCAAACCTAGTTACCTTTCTGGTGACTTTTTGATTTAGAATCGATCCTATATAACGAGAGATGGAGGACTCTCAGACTTTGCAATCGATACAAAGCTCAATTACAACACACATAAACAGTTTTCCCCAAGCATTCGATCTCCTTAAAATGAAATTAGTTGACGCTAGTTTAAGTAAACTGCGAATACTAGAACATATTATAATCCAACACGACAAATTTGTGAGGAATGCTAGAGTTATATTAATTTAGCTAGTGACGTACATCCAAACTTTCCAAAAATATGATAGTGAAATCGCACTAATATAAAATCCCTAGAAAAGTTACTGGAGGACCGACTCTAAATCACACTTAACTAACGCCCTTAGAACAAAAAAGTACTAGAATTGAATGTCAAATGCCAAATGGGAGGCTAAAAAGTCATTGACAAGAACCCCAGCCTGCAATCGAAATCAAACTGGTACTTTCGAAAAATACGTTAGTGATGATTAATTTCGGACCTAGCGCAATGCATTTTCAGGTGGTCTAGAATAGAACTCACTAGTTTGATCATCATTGCAGCAGTCAGTTGGAGGGTTATAAAAACACACAAAAATGTTGTTTATTTTCAAACAAATATCCACACAAAATTTTGGAATGCTCTACCTCGTAAAGGAAATTTTCGACACACGATCCACAAGTGCCGCTTCGCAATAGTTCTGGTTCTGCAAAAACTGCTATTAGAATAAACTTTTAAAAAAATTTTCAGTCACCTTTTTATAATTATACCCAAACGTTTGCCCAAACGCGTCGGTTGCAAAAATGTTTCATTGACCGGACATACGAGGTTGAAATTTAATCCCTTATTCACCAAAAGGAGTCCGCAATTGTCCGCCCCATCGCCGCCTGGCCGTAGTTCCAAAATTCGTATTTAAACATTCTAGAAGAAAAATTAGTTAGTTAATGTGGCACGCAATTGATGATGGAGTGATGTTTAGAATGAAGGAAAATTTAAAAATGCAGATTTTCCCACCAATTAGCCCAGCCTTGAAAAATGGAGAGCTTACGTTTATAAAGCCAGTTTGAAACGCTACAGGCTACTTAGCAATTTGAAGTTTTTGTAAAATTCCCTTTCCTAGCAAATAGCCAGTTAACAGCAGATTGAAAAAAGTTCGCAATGAACATTCCATTGAAAAATGTCGGTCGCTTAATAATTTGCGTTTGGTAGTCTTTATGCAAATAAATGTCCATCGTAACTAAATTGTGAACTCCCTTACGTGATAATTATACACTTCTAAAGAAGCTGAATGTGCATACCTGGTACGTCTGTTAACGCCGTTCACACTGAAGAATTCCATAGAAAAGGCTTATGTAGGTATGGATGTTTTTTATAGGGATTCGATCCGTATATTTCCACTGGCGGCCCCTTAATAAAATCGTAGGCGTAGGTATGAAATTAGAAAAAAGAAAAATATGTAATATCGTATACAGTCCGATTTGAAGAGCTTATTTATTACCTTTGCTAATGCATGACTCCTTATTTGCCAAAAATCCCAAACGACATATTTATAATCCAAATTGTTTCACAAATGCACAAATTTATTTCGCCCATCGTATGTACTGTCGCGAGAGCGCGGTAACGACTCCTCTCTTTTTTAGATGACGCAATGAAATCTTAAGATAATGCATTGCGGTTCCACGTAATCTGCATAAATGTAGGCATTATGTGCAGTAGGAAAACTCGTAATACGAGGGATGTCCAAATTTTTACAAACAGCGCGAGCCATGCCTGCAATTAACTAACTAATTGGCCACTTTCCGCTGTCGATACAAAGATACTGCATTGAACCGTACATCTAAAGTTAAGGGATCCCAAATTGCGCATTTTTCCTAATTCATAATAACATACGAGTACATTTTTTCGATATTTCAGTATGTACCTAAGCATACCTATACGTATTAGGTACACCACCATGATTTTCGTGTTTGAACCGTTGGATAAGTGGTTTCTCGAATGGCAGGATAAATTTATGGTAGACCTCTTTTTTTGCAAACACACGCTGCTAAAAAGTACCTCTAGTGTTCACCCTTCGCCCCGTAAGCTGAACCAACTAAATTACTAAACAATTGCATCAGTTGACGTTGACATCATACGCGGTTGTATGTACCTTAAAAGTGGGGATAAAACGTATGGGTTATGTATCTGTGTATCCCACATGAAGAGGGTACCTACCTACAAAAGTATCATATGCCGAAAAACCGATAGTAAAATGCACGATATCTTTTATATCGAAGTTGGGATACATTAGTGCCGTATATGTATGTGCATTTATTGTATGCGGATCGTTCGATACAGTATACATTTTTTTTTTCTAAGTGTAAGCTTAATTTATGGCATTCAACGTTACTAATCATGTTTTCACGTATTAGTCACGGCCAAACTTCAAATTACGGTTGATGGGAACTTTTACGGTAAAGTTTTATAAATCGTATCGAAATAACAGTGGAGGCATGCTATTTAAAGAACTGGAAACGGAAGAGGTAACAGGTGAAGAGATTGAGGCTGTGGCAATACATGAGCTCTTAATTTTTGAAAGCTGTGATAATTCCATCAACACTTCCGAGCTCTTCTTTTTGCGTAGAGGAACCCGCGCCACCTGATTTTGTTGGCGTTGATGCAAGTCCTTTGGAAAATATTGTAAATATCTGAGGTAGTTCCCATATAACCAGCGCCAATCATCGCGGTCTACCGCTTTCAACGTAGGAGTTGGAAATATAGGCTGTAGCGATGCTTTCTATCAGTCCAGTAGTAGTTCTCGAAACAGTTGGTGAATCAGTAGCAGAAAACTGGTTATCGATATTGAGGTTCAAGGATTTAAAACATACAAAACGTCAATTACTCCAAAGGATTTAGCGGTATTTAATGGGCACCAACTTGCAGATTTTATGTTCAAACCTCCGTTTTCATTTAGCAGCTTAGATGTGAGCTACCAGAGAGAGAGAGAAGCAATCTGGCCGATTAAATGGGAAGAAGGACATACGCAGGCACACTTATTTTCAACTATAGTGCGCCTGCTGGTATCACCAATGGACGCTACATATGTCAAGGGAAAGGAGAAGGTAGAATTTATACGAAAAACCTTATCGCAGGATGTCCTCGAGATCAACGAGAAACCTGCACTACCTAAATTACAATCCAACTGTTTATATCATTCCCATTCTCAATGTCATTGTGCATTGTCAAACGTGTACTACATACATAACAATCTTACAATGACATAATTTTTTACTAAATAAAGCGGAAAAAGTATATAACATTTATTCTTTCTCTTAATACCTGTAACCGACAGCAAACCTTAAGAATTACAGTTTTTTGGGCAGCAGAGTTCTTAGTGACCATCGGCCTCCCAAGAAGAGAGAGATAAGCATCTTTTTTGAGACGGAAGCGTGTTAAGTTTGATCCAGGTAAAATCCTGGTTTGCTGCAATTATGGGGATTTAGTGAGCAACCCGTTCAATTTATATTAATTCTGTTTTACCAGGTAATGAAGACCTAGTTAACTATGTACAATCCCTTATCGACTGTTGTTCTTGCCGCTTACACTACGAACACTTCGAAATCTAGTTCAAGAAATTTTTGACGTTTGACTGCTTTCCTTTTAAGCCCTGTACCTATGACTCCGTTGACTTGAATTTTAAAAAGTCTTTAAAATCAACAATATACTTACGTGATGCTATATGAGAATGATTGTAACTCTTTGCTAGTACTCACTAATTATTTATAGACGAGTGCATAAATGATTGTAGGCTATATATATCAGGGTTCAGTGGAAGAACAATCTCTGGAGATTGAACTGCGCCCTGAGGTTATCTTATAGCAAGTAAGATAATAAAGGCCATTATTATTATTATTCTTATTATTTAAATTTTGATCACTCTTTTACAGGATGTTTTAGCTGTTAAGCTGGATTCACATGCATACGAAATCCGACGATACTGTTTTCCGAAAGGCGTATGATTGGTCAACAATTTCAAATGTCATGAGGGGAGCGAAAGCCGCATGACAGACTCATTCGACGATGCCGAGGGAAAATTCTCAGTAGAAGAAGTACAAATCCAGTCGCACGTCACGATCGTCCACATCGCACCACAGCAGGAAAACTGCCTGTGATAAATACAAAGACTTCGTGATGGCAGTTCCGGCCAAGCACGTATAACCTGATTAACCCGGACATTCATCTTAGCGGGGAGGAGTGATATAAACCATTGAAATAAAAGACTAAGGAAGGAGCTTATGTAGCATTAGCCAGGACCCTATAGGCTTCTCAATATGGCGGACGTTCCTACGCACAGTGGCGTAAATACATAAATAATAAAATAATTTAGTATATTTAATTTTTTTGGCGGATAGTACTGAAATTACATACATTTTACTACATACAGATTCATTACTTCTTTGATAAACAAAATCCATCTCGCCATTCACTGTCTAAAGGAAATGTGAAAAATAGATGTATTTCAATATGTTGTTTTACGCCTATTCCTACGGCAATGTATCACAACCAGTAAAATGAATGAAATTAAGTATCGTGAAAGAAGACCATTTAAGAAATACTAACATAGTTATCACCTATGAAATGTCATTTTCGTTTCTTCTATAGCTTTTGACTTTGTTATATTACACGATTTACAGCTAACCATTGTGTTT